TAGAAGAAAATGCGGGTACCGGGTGTAACGGGATTATGACATCACTCCTATAAATAGGATACTTTCAAAATGATTCAGAGGGTACCGCTCATATGTATTCTTTTGTAACTGTACTGTGCCATTTAAACGCATCTTAGTGGAAAGAGGATACATTCAAATGTATTTTTAGAAACACGCTTTAGCTGATACATATTCGTTTCTATCACTAAAAAGATGCGTTTCAATGCCTTTTAAAAACTACGTCTAAAGTCTAGCGAAAACATGCGAACTAGAAAAAACCGCGCTGAAGCGCAAATCTTCACAAATTTTTTTTTCGTGGGTATTTCGAGAATTTTTTCGAATTACTTTCGCATTTCTTCAACATAAATTTTCCTACCCATATCTCATTTTGTATTCAATAAAATCTCCCAGTTTTTTTCTGTCATATTTACAGACCCAAAGGATCACATTAACAACATCAGAACAATTTTTTCCTTCATTTAGAAAAACTACAATGCCAGCAAAACAATTCAGCCATTAATAAATAATAATTGTAAAAAAAATCAGAAAAATCAAATGTTCTTTTGTTCTTCTACCGTTTTCTTTAGAAGCAAAGATTATTTTTTCAACGATATTTAACAATAAAAAGTGGTCAACTATTGTTGACGCTAGAAATAGATGGGGAAAACTCTAGAACGAATATCTCGAGAACAGAAGCAGCTAGAGACCTGCAGTTTTCACCATTAGAAAGAGCGATGTCGGGGGTATCGATCAATATAAAATTCATTAGGTTCAGTGAGTTCTTTCATGGATAATTTTGGATTGACATTTTGTTCGCTGCCTTTTTTCATCATTTTTCAGAGGAATTTCAATCCTAATTATACCAAAACATAGCCCTGAACACCTCGTGTTCAGGCTAAAATTTTCACAGTTTTTTATTATCTTTTCAACGTTTTCCTTGGATGAGGCTTCTAAAGAACATGATAATTTTTATAGGAATATACGGTGTCTGGGGCTACATTTCGGTATAATTAGGATTGAAATTCCTCGGAAAAATAATGGAAAAAGGCAGCGAACAAAATGTCAATCCAAAATTATCCATGAAAGAACTTACTGAACCTAATGAATTTTATATTGATCGATACCCCCCGACATCGCTCTTTCTAATGGTGAAAACTGCAGGTCTCTAGCTGCGTCTGTTCTCGAGATATTCGTTCTATAGTTTTCCGTATCTATTTCCGGCGCCGACAATAGTATGAACTTGATATATTAATCGTTTAAAAGAATATTCAGCATCTCATATAACTACATTAGCTATTCTTTCATTTCCGGTGATTTATTTATTTAACAACGTTGGACTATGTATTTCATTGTTTGAGACTATCTTAGAACTTTTTATGTCAATGTTATTTCATAATAAGAACTATAAGCAAATAATTTTTGCTTTTATATGTGGCCGAATTGGTTACACTCAAAAGTTTAATTGATTTTATTAGCAAGTTTGTTATAACAAAAAAAAAATAAATTATTTTTTCATTCAATGCTATTAAAAACGTTTATATCCTCTTTAGCAATCTCCTTTAGGTAATTGAGTAATAGTTGTTTCAAGTTATTTTTCATGTTTTTTTTAAATAAGTGTTTCAAGTGATGATCAGTAAATCCTATTTATTAAGTTTAACCAATATAAAGATAACAAAACTTGGACAAATAAACAAAAAACACAAGTTTTGAATATACAAAAAAAATGATCCTTTTTTCTTCTGTTTTGAGCCATCTATTTAGAATAAGCCATCTCTAAAAGAAAAATTAAAAATTAGAAAAATATCTAAACATGACTTGATAAAATTCGAATTTCAATCAACTGATTATTTATAAATCAAATATTAAACATACTTATCAAACATTTTATCCTCGTCAATTGCATCAAGATTACTAGCCCAATTAGCAATTTTTTTCTGTTTAACTAAAAGAATGCAAATATTCCTATTAAATAAATGTTTAAAACGTATATGTACTTACATTTATTTGAAATATTATTGAAATTTTTTACTGCCTTTTGTTTAGCGACTCTATATTCAGCCTCACTAAAAACAATCGATTAATTCATAAGAATAGAAGAAGATTTGTCTTACCCTTCGATAATTGAGATTTGTTCATCATCTGCAGTAATATAGCCCATCGATGCTAATTTAATACAATCATTTAATACCACTAAACGATATAAATGTGTTTTAATATTTAAATAATATTTAATTTACTTACATTGATATTTTTTACTTCGAAAATAAGCTTTAATTCGACCTTTTAACAAAAGAATCATTTGAGCTTTATTATTAGATGGTGTTTTGTCAATTATCGAAGTAAGAATCTGAAAGAAATACATACATATGTAAATTACTTTTTAATCAATAAATTCATACTACACATACTTTAATTATTCCATTATGATTGTTATCTTCCATAGCGAATAAATAGTTAACCAATTCTGCCATTTTTATATGAAGAAAATACGAAGCTTTTTTAATTGAATAATAAATAAATATCAAATATAATAATGATGAAAGTAAAATTTTTTACACGTAAATGAGCTTTTATATCCAAGCAAGCATCATAATAAAACAATGACGTTATTTCTGTTGAATTAAAATCAGACTAGTCCAATAAATTTCTTTTAATATTGGTCAGATCAGTATGAACAATAAAGAAATAGATATACATAGAGGGCAGTGATATGTATTGAAACTTTTCATATTATGTTACGGTTCATTCAAAACAATGATAATGATACGGGTGTGGATGTGGGTGGGGTGTGGGGTGTGGGTGGAGTGTGGGGTGTGGGTGTGGGTGTGGGTGTGGTTGTGGGTGGGTGTGGGTGTGTGGGTATAGGGTATAGGTGTGGGGTGTGGGTATGGGGTATAGGTGTGGGGTGTGGGT